ATCGGCCACGGTAAGTTTGCAGTTCATCTGCCCCGCAGTAGGAACGAGAATTCAATGAACAGAGCTATTCCGTGTTGAGTACCACGTCGGAAAACTGTGAAAAGCATGAATGTAAGATGCTTTCGTCTTTGCTGGCGATGATGGCTGCGGGGCGTCGGTTTTTTATACTGCTCATCATGAAATTCAAGATCTCTCCGAGGAGAAACTCATTCTTCAAGTTGTACACACTACAATAAAACCTGTTCAGTCATAGAACATAGCTTCACTGCATGCCATCAAAACCCTGATCTTGGTGTTCTCAAGAAAATCTACGAAGCAAGATTGGGAACAGCTGTTGGGCCTGCGTTTTCCCCTCAACAATAGCGAAACCACCAACCCTCGCATCTATATAAACCGCTTGAGTCAGCTTAACCTTTCTGAGTTCCCATCACCCACAGCCCATCACCAACAGGAAGAAATTGCACACCACTCATCCAAACAATCATGAAGTTCATGCTGGAAAGGCCATTGTCGGCCTCGCCCTCACCTCTGTCTTCGCTGAGGACATTCCCACTGAAGCCCGCAGCTACCGTCCCTGCCCATGCAGATGCCTCGTCGGGCGTGGTGCCAGACGCGCCATCCGTGTTTGCCGCAGGTACCGGTTCCGGTTCCACTGCGTGGTGAGCGATTGCTACTACCACGGTAAACCTGGTAAGCAGTGCTGTGACAAGGATGAGCCGAAACCGTCCGCGTCTCCATCCAGCACCCCGTCGGCGACTCCGTCCCCGTCCCCGTCAAAGAGCCCCGAACCACCCAAGTGTCCGTGCACTTGCGGCTCCAAGAGGGACGCTAGGCGTGAGTGCCGCTACAAGCCGTACTGTCAGATCATGGAGTGCCCGTCGCCCGAGGTCCACCACCCGGTCCCCCACCACTACAATAAGCCGAAGCGTGAGTTCAAGTGCTGCTAAAAACCGCATGTCGCCCCTGTCCACTAAGTGTTGTAGTGGAACTGTTCGATCTGATTTAGAACTGTCAGGAGCGGGCATTTAGGTCGTTTGGATGGGCTGTATCAGTTAGATGCGACCTTTTCCCCATCTTTCAATAAAGAGCCAGTCCCTATGAATCGTAAGCTTCGACCGTATGTCTACACGTCTTACTGACTCTAACAGTGCTGCGGGTGGAGTTCGTGAGTTAGGGGAGGGTCTCTTTCCCGACTTAAAGATGGACGTACTTCCGCTGCGCAGCGCCCAACTCGCAACAGTGTTCTGAAACATATTGCTTCCAATGTGCGCTTGGCGCGAGTTCTTCGACAACTATCATCAGAGACACGAATGCATCGCAGCTAGTATGCTCTATTTATACATTACAAGTTTAATAGCAAGGTGCAGGATACGCTCAGGAAGCAATTGTACCTTTCGGTACAGTACTGTACATGCATGGAGCATTGATCATGCAGGCCCCCGTAAGGTGACATCAGCTCAGGACCGGAAGTTTTTGAGATCTGGGCTTTCGTGGAAACGGCGTCATGGTAAGGCCTCCCTTCCGCATCTATATCTTGCCCGCGCGCATGTGTGGTCCAATGGCAGGAAACGAGGAAAACGGCGTGTGCAAGAATCTGGTACTGTGCGGTGGGCACGGGTGCATATGGTATGCAGCATACGCCGACGAAGAGAACGGTGACATGCAACATGGGGACGACTGCAGATTTAGGTTCCCCTGCGTACGGGCCCACTTGTCGCGATTCCCAGCACAGCCGTGTGATGACACTCTGACATCAGGGAAAGAACTCGGCATGATGCGATTGCCAATAATTGCTGGGTGCTGAGATTTGCACTGCACAGCAATGCCACGGACGCAACGTCCCGATGGGATGAAAGCGGCTCAGTTAGCTGGAAAACGGTCAGCGATAATATTTTGGTTGTCTCTGAGATAGGTTGTCACGTGTGCAGAGGAGAGCAACATGACATAACATGACAGTGACAGCGTCTCGCTCCAAGCATATGAAAACTCACGCTCCAGTCCGGACAGCCCGATTTGACGCGCCGGCGGGCATACAGCAGTTGAATTTGTGTTTGAGCGCAAAGGCGGGGTTGGGGTGCAAGTTACAGAGGGAGACCTTTACGGGTCCGCGGAAAGACTTTCCCTGCGCGAGCTGATTTTTGCGCGGGCGCGGTTTGAGGCATGTACAATATTCCGTGCCTTTTCATCAATGTTTTGTTCAAATTCAGCAGTGTTGAGAGCGAGGAGGACTTGGCCTTGCATTCGTCATGCATACATTACCAACCACCAGCGATTCAAAATGGGGCAGGGTAATTTGCTCATCATCCCAAACCCTTAACATCCTTGTCGGCTCACCGAGCTCCCATACAGTATGATTTCATGTACGGTACTCTGGGAAGTAATTTTTTGGTGTCGGGTCTTGCCCATCTTCTTTTTGGCAGCGATGGTTAATCCTTGGGGCCGTTCCATTGGGAAAACAGGGGAAACACTGTACATGTGCCTTTAGCGTTCTCTCGACATATCGTCTGCCAGATATTTGACATCTTGAGATTCGGTCTTGCACCAACTGATGATGGACGGACATGTCTGACGAGCCACGCTGTTGGTTTATGTACGAAACACAACAAAATATCTTGTGCCCTGGATCCAGAAGCCGAATGCTTCTTCGCCGTACAGTAATACCTTGAGAAGACGAAATGCTGGGCCCTATCTTCTAGTTTTCAGACCTAGGTCAGGAGGTTATTCCGGTTTGTTCACGTTGAAAAAAGGTATCAGGGAACAGAGGGATGCCGATGTATAATACAGTACCCTTCGCTATCCTTTTTGCGCCAGTACTGAGTTGAGATAAGCGGGGAAACGATGCACAACGCAAATGAATTTGTGGGATTCACAACGGCGTATACAGTAATCTAAATTCTCGAACGTTGCTTATTTTTGATGCGCAAAAAACATAAATCCTAAAGACGTTTCATATTATGACTTGGCAATGGTTGTGATGGTAAAAGGGATTCCCTCGGCTGTTTTAAAAATCATACCCAGACAACTGGCACGCACCATATCTCTGACAACGAGAAAGATTTAGAATACATCTTCCCGATTGGAGATATCCGTTCCGTTGGCCTACCCCGTGGAGACGCGCCCAACATTCCATTAGCAAGTGTATCATCCCTCTTTGAATAGATATATTTCCTGTTCATGCGACATATTCAACGTCATGGAAAACTATTGACACAGGAACAAGAATCAACGAACGGAAACTCACAAAAAGATCCTACTGCACATCAAGCAGAATATTATAGATCCGGCCTTCAATTTCTCCATTGCATCGCTTTTATGTCAGGGTAGCACCCAGATATAGCATTGGTGCATGTCCAGCGAGAGGTTGTAGCTGCGAATCAAAACACCAAACGGAAACAGATTCAGATTCAGAGTTACCACGTACGGTTCCTCACCTCTTGGCGGCTATTCGCTAATTCTTGAAGCTGCGCTTTTGATGATAACGTAGCCATCTGAAATCATTGTATTATCTCAACGTCATGCAACAATGCGGCAATTATTATATATTGTGTCATATGCATGTCGCGACATTAGACATCTTTCTTTGCATGGAACTGTATACAGTATGCCGTTGAGGCTGAATCTCTGGCAGGAGCTATACTGTACAAGTCCATGGTCGGACATAGGCATAGACATTTGAGTTTGTGAGGGTGAGCAAAGCAAGGACATAGCAACATCTGAAAGATGAAGAGGTTGCAATCGGGCAGAATGTCACAGGCAGAATGTCACAGGCGTACTACCGGCGGTACTACGCCCGTGACCTTCTGCCTGTCTCGTTTGGGGGGGTTGCGTGCCCGTCTGCCTGCTGTTTGCGCTC